TAGTGTGCGGACTTAAGGTACTAACTCATTTTAGTTGTAACTCCATATCCAATTCTAGAGCTAAATTTATTAGAAGCATAAATCTGTGTGGGTTACTCCTACAAAAGAGTGGTCTGCACATCAAATCTGCACTCAAGGGTCACCTGGTTTTTATAAATTAGTCATTCTCGGATATTTGCTGTTTCGCAGCCCTCTCTTTTTCAATTGTTCTTCTATGTTGACTTGCAGAAGTATATCAATGATAAGCACATGTCTATGTAGAGTTACGGTTAAAAAGAACAAGATAGGTTCACTCTTATGAATTCTCCGTGGCACCACATTTTTTTTAACAAATTCTTATATTACTTTTATACTATTATATTAGCATTTTGGATGGCTGAGATTGAATCACTGTGTTTGTGTGTGTATACGGTAATTCTCTAGTCGGGATGTCTTAATATAATTTTGTCACCACCAAAGTTCTAAAAACATTATTCGGTCCTTGCATGGTATCATTCATAGTTGAGACTGGGATGGTATCTTTTGTAAGTAGTTTTTTCCCTGTAAATGTTCCTTGACATAAACAAAGAACGGCTAGTTGTAATACATGAGTGACGGTTTCCATGATATACAGCATTGGTGTATGCTTTTCTGATAAATTCAATTGATTTCCATTTATTAAGTTCCAATGACATTTTCATCAATAGCATGTTTTGTACCACAATTTGTTTGATTTTGCAGAATATATGTGTCAAAATATTTAGGCATATCCTCAATTGGGTAGAGGAGCAAACTTACTGGATAGCTTCTCGTTTTCTCAAGCTGGGTTTTGAGTTGGACCTTTATTCACCCACTGAATATTGTATGGTATATTGGTACATTTATGCTGTCTTAATCAAGCTTGCAGAGAAAACACATCTAAGGTTGGCAGTGAGCAGTGGCACTGGTAAGTTTGTTACCTTTTTCCATTGTGATTTTGCTTTTGAGAATTGTTAGTAATGTTTTAGAAATGCTCTATTTCAATTGAGCTGGATCTAATTCCCACTTATATTCTATGAGAGTGCTCGGACTATCTGTCCTTGAATTGGAGACTTATTTATGAGTTCTTGACATATCTTCCTATACTTTTATTGATAGTGAAACGAAAGGGAAAGAAGAAAAAAGACTCCATAAAGGAGGTGGCAAAGGAATCTCGGATCCCACCAGCAATATTATTTCTTCAGTGCCACATATGTCTTGCTCAAGGGCTGACTATGGTAATTTAGTGTCTCAAAAATAAATTATGATCTAATATATATAAGCATACAAATTATGATTCCGTGGATGACTGCTTCAAATGCCATTTAAGATGTAACTCAGGGGTTGAATTTTACCTCTTAGCCTAAACTTTATTAATTTCTTCTAATTCTTTGTGATGTGGCCATGTCTATAGAGCAGCAAAATTTGCCTGTTGTTACAAAGTTTTTTTACTTCAACGTGTCAACTCAAGTGATATATTAATTAGTTAAATCCTTCCAGATGCTTGCTGCTTTGAGGAATGAACTCATGCTCTTTCAGACTCCAAGCCATTTCAATACAGAGCGGGAGGCAAAGTTTCTATCTTTCTCATCTAATTAAATTTACTTCACAGCATTTTTGGCTGACTCAAACCTTTTTCTTTTTTCACTTCCAAAGTGATTTATTTGACAAGGAAATTGAAGTGTAGTGTCGCAGGTCCACTGCATAAATCTGCTTGCTTCTGTTCCGCCATTCCTATCTTAGTCTAGCACATAGTAACACAAATTTATTTTACCTCCAGAGATTCATTCAGCATTTTGAGCTCTTACAAAAAGCTTGTGTACCTGATAACATTTCATATCCATCGTTCAAAGAATCAACAACCTACGCTCGCTTCTCTGTGAGTATTCTATGACATTTAGCTCTTACGAACCTGATGTTTCTATGATATTTTTGTAAAGACTTATTAATTTTGCTTCCTGTATCCAGACCCTTGTTATGTACAATTACTTTAAGGATGCTCAGAAGATTGCAAAGGAAATCAAGAGTAGTTTTTCCAATGACCCAGAAAGATTGGCTGAACTTAGAAGATTAGAGCAGGTTGCAGAGCACAATGTTGTAGCAGTAAATGTGATTTGCCGGTTAGGAGCCATTGATCCATCACTTAAGGTCAGTTTTGAGTTCAGCCATCATCCTTATTTTGCTTCTGCGGTTGTTAAGAGATCTTGAAGTTTTGTTTTAGATCTCCGCAATTTTGAAACACTTTATAGGTTGAGAAGCATTTGAGTTATCCAGTGTAGAAATTTAACTTTTGTAGTTAGTAATTTTTTCGATCAATTTTCCCAATTATTTATGGTATTGGCAATGTAATTTACAATAAGATAAGAAAGAAAGTACAAATTTTGTAATCCATAGATTTTTATTTCTGGTTTTTATTTTTGGTTAATTTTTTTTTTTTTTTTTTTCTATAAAGCAAACGGTGAATTTTCCATATTTTTGAGTTCCAAGCATAATATTTTTTGCGCCAATTTCTGAAAAAACAGTCGTTCTTATATGAATTGGCAAGGTTGAGCTAGATTTGTGGTGGGCCAAATATATTATGTTTGTGAATTTAGTTGAATAGTTTGCGAGGTTAAGAAATAGCTTTTTCTGAAATTAAATTGAATAAATTAAGTCATTCTCTTTCTCTGTATGATGTAACTAGGGATACATTTACTTTCTATTTATAAACTATTTAGCAAGTGTATATTTTCTTGTACTAACGAGATTATTACATCTTTAAAAAAATTTGTAAGTCCAAATTAAACTTTTGTGGAAATAATAAAGTGGACTAATTCGGTATGATTAATATAATGAGTTTTGCGTGGTAATTATGTATGTTTATATAAATGAATATTAAGATTTACATACCTTTCTACAAGTTCTTATGCACTTATCAACTAATCTATCTAATCTTCTTTAAAATAATGTACTCATACTTGATATTTCTAATTTATATATATATTCTAGAAAGGCTTCTTCTTTAAAATAATGTACTCATGCTTGATATTTCTAATTAAAATGTATATATGTGTATATTCTAGAAAGGGTAGTGTATTATAACTTATAAGACGATAAATGCAAGTCTAACGGTCTTGAGAAAATAAAAGAAAAGTAAACCATTATCTTTGTTATGGAATGACTATTTAGTTAATATAATTTATAATGAAGAAAGAGATGGGGTTTTGTGAGACAAAAATTTCAATTAGGTAATCCAAATAAAATCTTTGTAGGCTTAAAAATGATCATTTTCATTGTATGGCATCTTAAACAACATATTCTTTCGCTTATATATCACATATTATTTTTTATAATTCATGGAACATCAACTTTAAATATTCTAATTACCATTATTTCTTATCTATAATAATGAATACTTATTGAAACAGTCAATTAATGACACTATTAAGAAGTGAGATTAAAAATTGAAAGCATGATTAAGTTTAATTAGCATATTGGATGAATAGGATTCCAATTATTATATTCTGTCGGCCACAAGTGAGAAGACATTATTTAAACAACCTCATTTCATTAATTAATTATGATTATACCCAACTAAAATAATAAATGAAAAGGCCTCCCACCACAGCTTGTACTTGTATGCGCATCCATGTCAACAACAGTTTGAGGCATACAAAAGACAAATCTAACCTTAAAATTCATGATTGTTTCTCTTTCTTTTACTTTTTTACTTCTTAAGGGTTAAATTTATCTCTTTGTATGCTTATTTGTATGCCTCTTTGTAAGATTAGTATTCCTCTAAATAAAAACTCTATCACCTACAATTAATTTATCCATATTTAATAAAAATATTATCCACATGGAAGGGGTATTTACTATTTATATAAAAAAAAAAGTAAATTTTTTAAAAATAAACAATCCAAGTGGAGTCCATACTCAGCAACATAGTCCAGTACAACCAACTGGTCCAAACGAGTCTTGTTGACTCAGCAACCAAATTCAATTAAAAAGACAAACACTAACTCTTCTTATTTCAATATAAGGGTAAGATTGTGCTTCAGCCTTCGGTGCCATGCCAATGCCAGCCACCTATCTTTGACCGAAAATGCCCTCGGATCTCTCTTCTTATTACAATCCTAATTTTATTTTCTTATGATTATGTGTGTACTCTCTTACAAATTATATTTTTAAAAACATTGTATAATTGTATTGTATGAATTTACACATAAAAAATATAATTTATTTTTATAAAATAATTATACAAAAAATGCCAAATATCTTTAAAATTTCTATTTTTCATTGCAAAATCTTATATATGATTCATAATTTCTAATTATTAACGATGCACGAATATACCTAAACTATTTAACAAACATTTCATATTCCCACGACTCAATTTCTTTAGCTCATTAACACGTAGTTTAAACACCATGGACGGTGGCAAATGGCAATCGTGGAGTAATGGGACCTTTCCAAATCATCATCAACAAATGGGTAGGTTTGTAAAATGAAAAAGAGCAGGGGTAAATAATGGAAAATGAAAGCTGGCAATGAGTATTTATTGTCATTTGTCAGACTTAGACACTATGGGTGATCAACCTATATTTTCAACTGTCTAAGAACAGTAATTGAAGAAGTGGTCTTAAAGTTAATTAATTTTATTTCTATTTCCATACAACCGACAAACACATTGCCTTCTTTTTAACCCTTACCGATACCAACTCCCTTTTGACTTCCGACATCCAACCACTTTCCTTTTTTCTTTATTTTATTTTCTTCTCCATTCTTATCAGCATCAATTTATTTTTTAAAAATAAATTACGAATTTTCTTTTATAAAAGTCCATAACTCATTCAATGCTCAAATCTAGTCTAACAACCTTGACAATTAATTATAAAACATGTCTTTTTTTTTTTTTTAATTTAATAATCATAATATATCATAATAATCAACGTAAAAAACACAAGAAAAAGGAGTATATAAAAAGGCTTTAATGAAGCATTAACGTTACCGGTGTGGTAATGTGGAATGAAGAGAAGGAAAAGGAAATCTGGATAAGTAAAAACTAGAAAGGGAGCAAAAGAGACAGTACAAACTTCTTACAAATCCGGATTCTGACAACGCACACACATTACACAGAGAAATAGATAATTAAAATATTTGTCTAAGACGCCGACGACTCAACCACAGCCAAATCCACCTCCCTCTTTCATATTCTTGGTCCGACTTTTCTTTGCTCTCAGACCAACTATTTTTTCTTTTTTCCCATCTCTCTCGCCTCCTGGTATGCCCATCTCACTCTTCTCTTTTCTGTGTTCTTCAATTTCTTTCTTAGTTTTCTGTTGTTTCTTGTTAGATCTTTTGTGGGTTCTGTTTCGTTTGAATTTTCAACTCTTTTTCTTTTATGGCTTTATATGTGTTTATTTATTTTTATTTAATACGTGTAAGCTTGCATAAGTTTTTGAATTTCTGAAGTTTTAAGTTGTTGTTGATTACTTTGTGGTTTGATTTTGAGTTGGATTCTGAGTTAATGAGATTTTGTGATCAATAGGATTTGTGATTAGATCTTATATGATGGGATATGAGCTCCAATTTATGAGCTTTAAGTTGAGAGTTTTAATGAGTTTATTTAGACTTTGATGAGTTATGGGAGATTGAATTTAACTGTAACGAGTGAATTGAATTGCATTTTTTTTTTCTTTTATGGAGAATTTTAAGTGCTAAATAAGGAAAGTGATGTCATTTAATTAATGGGTAATTGTAGAATTTTGTGATTGAGAGGGAGAGAGAATGTCGGGCGGAGGAACGCAGAAGAGCTTCAGGAAAGCACTGGGAGCCATTAAGGATACCACCACTGTTTCATTGGCTAAAGTCAATAGTGATTACAAGGTATAGTTAAGTGCATTTAAATCTATATGTGGTTTTTTCAGTTGTGGATATCTGATTTTCTTTGTCGGTGTTTAATTTTATAGGAATTGGACATTGCTATAGTTAAGGCTACAAATCACGTTGAGCGACCTGCAAAGGAAAAACACATTAGAGGTTGGTTGTTGCATGCAATCTACCTAAATATTGTACGCAATTTATGTCTCTTTGATTTTTAGTTGCACGCATTTGGTTTTTATGCTCTTACTTCTTTGCTACCTGCCTGTGAAAGAAATAGTGAATCCGCAGAATCTTACACACTCCTCCTCTGTGCAGCTATTTTTGCTGCTATTTCAGCTACTAGGCCTCGTGCTGATGTTGCATATTGCATCCATGCCCTTGCAAGACGGTTATCGAAGACACATAATTGGGCAGTAAGTGCAGCATAAGAGTAACATTTGTTGATGGAAATGCTGAATCAATCAAGCTTGTGGAAAAATGTTGAGATTTTATCGAACAATGTTATGCATATTACTATTAATGTCCCTATAAATGCTCAAGAGTATCAAAAAGTTATTAGCATTATTATATACAAGCAATTTAAGGTAAAACAAATATTGATGGAGGACTACATCTATTGTCATATTCCTTGATTGGAATTTGTCTATAATCATTATGATGTTGGTCCTGACTATCACTGTGAACAAGCACAACTGAAAGGGAAGCATTGTATGTGAGGTTTGTTATATTCTTCATTATTGGTGAAGAAATGTGTACTTGAGTGGAAATAACTTAAAGAAGCCAATAAGGTGTTAAAACTTTTTTTTCAAGTGACAAAGTATCTACGAATAGTTTTTGTTGAACTATATTGTTGTGTTACAGTTATTTCTTTGTTGCATGCCTTTGAATTTTGTATCCCTTGTCCTGTTCTTTATATTTATCCAGTTTTGAGTAAATGAGTCAGTATATTTCAATTAATGAAGTTGCATGTCATAAACTGTGGGCTTTATGTGGGGTTATAGTTGTGAACATGAAGCATTTTTGATTGGTTATGGACGTGCTTTGTTTTCCTTTTGTTAATGTATCTTTTCATGGACTTAATTTCATACTTTATATCAAGAAAACTCATTAATGACTGTTATTGGATGGACTGGGGATTCTGATGTTCATAATAATGTATGTCTGTTTGGCTTAGGTTGCATTAAAGACTTTAATTGTAATTCATCGTGCTTTGAGGGAAGTGGACCCCACATTTCATGAGGAGGTCATCAATTATGGTCGAAGCAGGAGCCATATGCTTAACATGGCTCATTTTAAAGATGATTCCAGCCCAAATGGTACCTTATATCATCCACAGTGAATTATTATTTTGTTAGAATTTCAAGTTCCGTAGTTTTAAATATGTGTGATATGCTGCTCAGCATGGGATTATTCTTCTTGGGTGCGCTGTTATGCCTTATTTTTGGAGGAGAGGCTGGAATGTTTTCGGTTGTTGAAGTATGATGTTGAGACGGATCGCCCTGTGAGTTCATCTCTTCACTAGGACAATTTTTTTTCTTTTTTAGATATGATCCTTTTTGTTATAATTTGCTTTGGGAAAGATTAAATTTTTCTTTCCATTACAATATGGTATTTGACCAGTTAAATAGTTCAATCTATTTTGATTGGGCAGTGTGGTGTGGCCGATAAAAGACGATGCTTGGAGAAAACAAATTACAACTTAAAAGGAAGAAATATAATTACAGAATTTTTTTAGTTAAAGAATCTCTTGAATTTGAATGGACAAGACTTTAATGTAGATGATATTTAAATTCAAATAGATAAAATTTCACGTCAAATGATCAGTTTTCTCCCAATCAGTTGTAACAATTATTAATCTGTGTTTTGCTGTGGAACTATATCATGTTCATGTATCGGAGAAGAAGTTATGTAGGCCTTTTAGCTCATTGAATAACCAGAATTTGTTATTTTTTCAATCCTTCCCAATTGTGAACATATTCTCTGGTTCTAAATTGTTCCTTAAATATTTACGTGTGCATATTTGCAAGTGTGGGTTTTATGTTTGATTGGTTAAAGAGATCCCATTGAACTTTCTCCATACTGTTCTCTCTAAAACTATATATATGTTCTACAGTAGCTCTGTGATTTTGTTAAAAACTGGTTTCATTGAGGAATTTATGATCAAAGCACCTTCATGGCAGTGCACACACAAACCAAAAGAATTAAATAAAGAAAGAAAGAAAGAAAGAAAAAATAACTACTACTCATAAATACAAGTTCTGATGCAGAGAACCAAAGATTTAGACACTGCTGAATTGCTTGAGCATTTGCCAGCTCTGCAGCTGCTTCTGTTTCGAGTTCTTGGTTGTCAGGTAATTCTTTTGAATGTTGTCAATTTAGTATATTATGTCTTCATATTCCACATAATAGTGGTGCTTGTAACGGCAGATGAATTTGACTGCAGATCAGTTTGTGCAACAGATTCTTCAGTATTTTTGTTCCTTTTTTCTTCTTGATTATGTATTTGATTGACTGTGTTTGCTGGAAATTTCTACAGCCGCAAGGGGCAGCAGTTCATAACTTTGTGATTCAGTTGGCCCTTTCATTGGTATGTGAAGTTTAAACATATTTGATTGTCCATCATGTTAGCCAGTTTGATTTAGATTAGAAACTGTATCTGTTATTTCTGATTGTCTGCTGTAATACAAACAGGTTGCTTCTGAAAGCATTAAAATTTATCAAGCTATAAGTGATGGTACAATCAATTTGGTTGACAAGGTAGGGAAAGATATACATATACAATCTTTTTCAGAAAGAGCTTGGTATCCAATAAATTTTGCATACATGACGCCCTTAACTATGACAGTTCTTTGAGATGCAACGCCAAGATGCTCTGAGGGCCTTGGATATATACAAGAGGGCTGGGCAGCAGGTATTGCCTTTTGGTAATATTCCTGCAGTGTGCATTGAAGATTCTTTGTCATTTCATGGGTAGGCCTTTAATTTTCTGTATTTTCAGGCTGAGAGACTGTCTGAATTCTACGAAATATGTAAAAATATTGACATTGGACGTGGAGAAAGGTTTTTAAAGATTGAGCAGGTGTGAGTTCTCCCCTAGTGTTTCTAAAATAAATTTTCTTCCAATAGATTTCATGTTATTCTCAAAAAATATTTTTCTTGATTAATTTTTGTATCCATGATGAAGCCCCCTGCTTCATTCCTGCAAGCAATGGAAGAGTATGCAAGAGAAGCTCCACGGGGTTCAACATTTCGGAAAGATCAGGTACATAACTTTTGTTTGAAATCATGAATGTATATACATATGCATGTGTGCAGATAAAGAAGGCAAAGGAGCATTAGATAACTTAGACTATCAATTGATATAACTGTTCAATTAGGTTATGAATGCCATTAAGAAAGCTCTATCAAATTGGTTGTTGACAATACAGAATGATAGTTAAAAAGTTTTTATGCTAGTTTATGTTATGAAGAGGCAGATTCCAATGCATCAATATAAACCTCCATTAAATTTAATAGACTAATGAAACTACATGTAAGAATAATACTATACATACATCACTCCCATACAACATTTCTCATACAACATTATGTGGCAAGATATGATTGAGTGAAAGTTTAATTTTAACTTTAAATTAACCAATCATATCTTGCCACCTAATGTTGTACGAGAAATGTTGTATAAAAATTATGTATGTGTAGTATTACTCTACATGTAATACCTTGTAGATACTTCTATTTTCTTTTGATGGATGATCATGCATTTATTTGTGTATAGCAGACTTGTAGTTTAATTTTGAAAGTTGGATGTTGATAATTTATGCAATGAGTCTAAGAGTTATGTCCTTTGTCTTAGATTCCTAGAAGCATTTTATGTCACCTTCATTATAGATGCCACAATTTGCGATCATTTATAATCTTGCTTTCTCAGTTCAATATCCAACATTTATTAATCCTTTTGGTTAAAAGTGTTTTAATTGTTCAGAATTTTATTAGAATGCTTCTAGTTGAACACATTTGAATTTTGATGTCATAATTACTGGTAGGTGGCTGACAACAAAATTGTTGCCCCTAAGGAAGTTTTGGCCATAGAGTATCAAAAGACTCCGGAGGTAGAGGAGGCAAGGCCACCCTCACCTCCTCCGCCAGAACCAGTAAAAGTGGAAGAACCTGTTGTTGAACCTCCTGATTTGTTGGTAAGTATTAAGTGTTATCTTTTTCTTAGAACTTAGTGGGTCAGCTGAACTTTTCTTAGTCACCTTATGGAACTCTTTTTTCCCCTTTGTGCCAAAGGGTCTGGATGATCCTGCTCCAGTTGCTTCAGAATTAGATGAGAAGAATGCTCTTGCTTTGGCTATCATCCCAGTTGGTAAGTTAATTTCAGTAACTTTACAATGTCTAGCAGAGGCTGTGGCTAAATAATTTGTAGCTTAGACTGGTCCTGTAGTGAAACCAAATTAGAACACATGAATTGCTTCTGTTCTTACCAATGTATGCGACCACAATATTATGGAGAAAAAACCTCGAAATGATGAGAAAATTAATTGGACCAAAATTTTGGAATCCTGTTTTCCCAATCAGATTAAGCTTTGCATATTTCAAGTTTGTTTCTGACAAAGAAATTGTATTCTTGTTTTCATGATGTTTATATAGCTGAGCAACCGACTTCTGTTGCTCCTAGTCATACAAATGGAACTACAGGCTGGGAATTGGCCCTTGTTACTGCTCCAAGTTCAAACGAAAGTGCCACTGCTGCGAGCAAATTGGTAATCTTGATTTTACCATTTCCCTTATACATTTCTATGTTATTTTGCATTCAAATGTTAACCAGGCCCTGAGGCTGCTATATTTCCCTCTGGAATATATCGTTGTTTTGAGTAATGCCTTACTGACGGTTGTTATGCTGAATTGCTTGAAAAGGCGGGAGGCCTAGACTTGCTAACACTGGACAGCCTGTACGATGATGCAATGAGAAGAAACAACCAGAATGTAAGCTACAACCCTTGGGAGACACCGGCCATGGCTGGTCCAATGATGCAACAAACAGGACATGATCCCTTTTTTCCCTCGGGCATGGTTGCTGCTCCACCTTCAGTGCAGATGGCAGCCATGACAAACCAACAGCAGGCTTTCATGTTGCAGCAGCAACAGCAGCATCAGCAGATGGTGATGATGGGTCAACAACAACAGCCTTCGAATCCTTTCGGAAATGCATATGGAGCCAGTGTCCATCCCTATGGCACAGGTATGCCTGTTCAAGCCTACAATCCATATACAGGCCTTATATAGGTGATTTGTGCAAACAAACGACATGTTCTATGTCAGTATACATGGAGGTGGAAAATGGGAATGGTGAGTTTGGGATTCGGAGGCGGGTATGATTCAAGAACATACAGTTGTGTACCATATGTTGTGCATGTGCAGTAGATAGGTAGAATCAAATTCTTTCTTTAATGACTAGTGAGAGGGAGAGCTCTTGATTGTTGATTATTTATATTGATGAAGATTGGAATAATATTTTTCTAGACGACGGAACTTTTTTTCTTTTTGACACTGCTTAGAAGCAGGAAACCTTTTTCTTGTTTATTATCATTGATCATTATTATTATTTTTTACCCTTTTCTTGTAGATGATAGAAATGATTTGTAATCTTTGTGACATTACCACATTTTTATTAATGAGACATTTAAATTTGATCTATGGTTCTAGCTAATTGTCAAATAAAGTTTTATTTTGAAACTTAACTTGTAAATATCTAGAATATGTATATTATGTGAATCAGAAGCAAGTAAAATATTGTATTTATATTCATGTTAAATTATGTTGAAAGCAAAGTCCTCCGAGTTTTTGAGAATTAAAAGTGTTTTGTTAACGTCTCTATGAAGATGACCCCAGTTGAAAACGATCTAAATCTGATCAAATCATACAATAACTAACCTCTCCCAGTTTTAACAAAATTATCATTTTTCCAAATTACTCTTTTGCATTTGCTTGGGATATTAATAATTTATATATATATATATATAAAATAAATCACCTTTTGGCTTTATATTGAAATTCAATATAGTTAGTATTGTTTTTAATTTAATACTTACAAACTCTTCACATAAGTGTATCCATACAAACTTCATATAAATTTTTCCATAAAAATTGATGTGTCATAAAATGAATGGATAAATACATATAAAAAGTCAATTTATAAATGCTCAATAAATATAAATGAAAGATGTGTTAATAAAAGAGTAGTGCCACATCATTTCAACCACTAAAGTCAAATAAAAGGGACAAGAAAACTTCACCAAATACATCTTGTAATAGAAAGTAGAAACTATAAATATCACACTTTTAGTATAATTTAGTCAACACGCCTTATAGTTTAGGATTATCACTCACATGTTTTAACTTATAGCATTATTGACCTCTCCCCTATTAAGGGTAGAAAAGCAATAATTAAGTACAATTTTATAAACTGCCACATTCAAATCTTAAATGTAAGGCCAGATTTCAAATCATTAAATGGGCTCATGATATATATATATATATATAATTTTTAAAGCCTAAAGCCCATATTTTAGAAGTCTGTTTGATTAGGTTTCTCTGCCAGCCCAAGACACTTTTTCAATCCTATATAAGTACCTTGATTCTTGTTTATTTTTTTCTAAAAAAAAAAAAAAAATTGTTTGATTATATCTTAAAAGTGTTTATTCAGTTATAAAAAAAAGCTATTTTATGGTTATATGAGAAGCTCAAAATTGAGGTTTTTTCCAAAAGACATTTCTAAAACTTTTCTTATGTCAAATATATCTTTGCAAATATTTTTAATTCCACCATATACCCTTCCTTTGAAAAAAAAAATCCTATTATTTATTTATATTAATCTATGACCCACCATCTCAAAAAAAAAAAAAAAAAAAAAACACTGGTTCATTATGTAGGTTCTCAATACTTGAGGATTATAAATTTTATGTTGCTTTCATTATTTTAATATATAAAAAATTAGTTAAAGACCAGTGAAACCTAAATCTGTAACTATTACTTACATGTAATTCATATTGAAACAAATTACACTTCCTTTTTAATTAATTTTTTTTTTTTTATTTTAAGACATGATTTTTAGACAACTTAGGATTAGTTTTGAATAGCTTTTCCTATAATTTAGATGTTTGTAATTAGATTAATTTCTTTTAGGATATGATTGTTAAGTAATATACAATTAGGTTAGCTGCCGTTAGATTAATCTCCTTGTGAAAGACAGCATAAGTAACACTAATTTATTACATTAATATTTTTAATTAGATGTTAATCTTGAAATTATTTATTTATTTGTATGATTTATTATTTACAGTAATGCTAAACTTACTGACTCAACTACCGATTTGGCATACTGACTCATGTAAATTGAGTTAAATTTTGAGATTTGGGTAATTGGGTAGGTGAGTCGGTATGTCAAAATCGGTCATTGAGTCGGTAAGTCTAGCATTACTGTATTATTTATAAGTCGTAAACAATATTGTTCAATACTAATAAATTGTCAATCTTTATTCATAATCTTTCGTGTAATAATGATATAATATTTAGAATAAACGACTTTTTCCCATCGAAAAATGACTTATTCCCATCCTCAGACTTTTAAAATATCACTTTAATACCCAAAGCACAATTTCTTTAGTAAATTTCGTTGTGAAAAAGGGTAGAATGGTCAAAAGTCCGTTATAAGAAAGAAAATGATGGTCAAAAGAGCGGAATCGGTCGGAATATGGCTTGAATAGAGAGAGGCACATGTTAGCAAGGGGCGGCGCCCATTAGCAACATCATAGTTGACGGTTTTTGCCTTATTCCGGCCGATTCCGACATCCAAAATCACTTATGAGACCACCTATAGACTCCTTAACCTCTTCCATAAAACCCACACCTCATTTTCCCTCCATATCTCCCCTTTTTACCGGATTTTGCACTTTTTTTATCCCCTTAATCGCCACTTCCAAACCCAATTCCGGCCAACTCCGACCACCAAAATCTAATATACCACCGCCAAAAGACTCACCAGCGTCTCTCCTTCAAAAGCCCCGATAAGTCGGACCACACTCACTCATTGTTTGCCGCCGGCCAACCCTAGGGTTTCTTGTGGTTCTTCTTATGGTTGGGTTGCAATTAGACTTTTGTTGGAGTAGTTTTAGTGAAATTGGAGATCTTTTTAGAGTGTTAGAGGTGTTTGGTTTTTTGTTGAGAGTTTTCCCAGTTGTTTTCACCTTCTCCTAGGGTTATTCCACCTTTTTTGGCTTGGTGCATGCCAAGTGTTTGTGAAATAGCCCCAACCATCCTAATACACGCCCCAACACATGCTGTCGAAAAACAACCAAAAGGCTCGTGGCAATTGCTAATAGTCACAATGGGGGCTAAGACGAGAAGAGAAGGAAAAGTAAATAGTTTTTTCGTCTTCACAGTGAATATCATTGTTTTTAACGGAAAAATTGTTAACGAAATGTGACGTTTGGGTATTAAAGTAGTATTTTAAAAGTCTGAGGGTGAGAAAGTGCCGTTAAACCATTTTACAGGTGGGAAAAAGTTGTTTACTCTATTATTTATTGTCTAGAAAATGAATAACCAAGAAGTGAATCTGACAAAAATGGAAGAGATACAAAGAAAGGCCAAGGCAAGATGGAATGATTTTGCTGTTGATGCGTTCGTTAAGATTTGTGTAAATGAGACATTGGCCAGGAATCGACTAAATGGTAACTTCAATACATAATGGTGAAAAAAATATTATAAAGAATTTATAGGCTATGACAGGTAGAACTTATACCAATAAGCAATTGAAGAGGATACTTTAAAATATTTGCAGAATGAAAACTTTCACCAAGCCACACAAGTTATAGACACATAATACCAACAAAGATAAGTACTAAATGTGGATGCTGTTAAACAATAATTATGGACAAGTGTTAAGTTCAAACAATATGGGTAATAAATGATAAACAATAAATGAGAGAGTTATGAATGTAAGCAATAAATGTATGTGAATGACAATGATGCTTCAAGTAAATATGCAATGAATAATAAATGAGTTGAGAGAAAAGAAATACTCGGAGATTTATAGTGGTTCGGAGCTCTATTCATAAGCCTCCTACGTCCACTTCTTCAAGGTAATTTCTTTGAAGTTCCACTTGTTAGAGTAGATGCCCTAGAGCCAATCAATTATTGTAGAATTGACTCTTTGTAATAATGTTCATTGATCAATAAAAGACATTTTATACTATATTGCATAAATCATCATTATATGTATTGATATATATCCATAGAATGGTAGAATCATGACGAGGGTATCAAGTGTTTCAAATCTTGATAGTGAGAACCCTATGAGCACATATGGTGGTCATTCTAGAAACGTCCGTAGCCACAGTATTATTCTGAAGTAAGGGCACAGATAATACGGTAAAGCTATCATAAAAAAAAAAAAAAAAAAAAAAAACTGGTTCATTATGTAGGTTCTCAATACTTGAGGATTATAAATTTTATGTTGCTTTCATTATTTTAATATATAAAAAATTAGTTAAAGACCAGTGAAACCTAAATCTTTAACTATTACTTACATGTAATTTACATTGAAACAAATTACACTTCCTTTTTAATTAATTTTTTTTTTTTTATTTTAAGACATGATTTTTAGACAACTTAGGATTAGTTTTGAATAGCTTTTCCTATAATTTAGATGTTTGTAATTACATTAATTTCTTTCAGGATATGATTGTTAAGTAATATACAATTAGGTTAGCTGCCGTTAGATTAATCTCCTTGTGAAAGACAGCATAAGTAACACTAATTTACCACATTAATATTTTTAATTAAATTAAATAATTAATATTTTTAATTAGATGTTAATCTTGAAATTATTTATTTATTTGTATGATTTATTACTTATAAGTCATAAACAATATTGTTCAATACTAATAAATTGTCAATCTTTATTCATAATCTTTTGTGTAATAACGATATAATATTGTAATCTTTCGTGTAATAATGATATAATATTTAGAATAAACGACTTTTTCCCACCGAAAAATGACTTATTCTCACGCTCATACTTTTAAAATACCACTTTAATACTCAAAACACAATTTCTTCAATAAATTTTGTTGTGAAAAAGGGTAGAATAGTCAAAAGTCTGTTATAAGAAAGAACCGGATGGTCAAAAGAGTGGAATCGGTCGGAATATGGCTTGAACAAAGACAGGCACATGTTAGCAAGGGGCGACACATTAGCAACGTCATAGTTGACCCTTTTTGCCTTTTTTCGGTCGATTCTGACGTCCAAAATCACTTATGAGACCACCTACAGACTCCTTACAACCTCTTCCATAAACCCCACACCTCATTTTCCCTCCATATCTCCCCTTTTTACCGGTTTTTGCACTTTTTTTATTCCCTTAATCGCCACTTCCAAACCCAATTTCGGCCAACTCCGACCACCAAAATCCAATATACCACTGCCAAAAGACTCACCAACGTCTCCCCTACAAAAGCCTCGATAAGTCAAACCACACTCACTCACTGTTTGCCGCCGACCAACCCTAGGGTTTCTTGTGGTTCTTTTTATGTTTGGGTTGCAATTGGAGTTTTGTTGGAGTAGTTTTAGTGAAATTGGAGATCTCTTTAGAGTGTTAGAGGTGTTTGGTATTTTGTTGAGAGTTTTCCTAGTTGTTTTCACCTTCTCCTAGGGTTATTCCACTTTTTTTGGCTTGGTGCATGCCAAGGGTTTGTGAAATAGCCCCAACCATCCCAATACATGCCCCAGCACAGGTTGTCGAAAAACAACCAAAAGGCCCGTGGCAATTGCTAATAGTCACAATGGGGGCTAAGACGAGAAGAGAAGGAAAAGTAAATAATTTTTTTGTTTTACAGTGAATATCATTGTTTTTAACGGAAAAATTGTTAACGAAATGTGACGTTTGGGTATTAAAGTAGTATTTTAAAAGTCTGAGGGTGAGAAAGTGCCGTTAAACCATTTTACAGGTGGGAAAAAGTTGTTTACTCTATTATTTATTGTCTAGAAAATGAATAACCAAGAAGTGAATCTGACAAAAATGGAAGAGATACAAAGAAAGGCCAAGGCAGGATGGAATGATTTTGCTATTGATGCGTTCGTTAAGATGTGTAAATGAGACATTGGCCAAGAATCGACTAAATGGTAGCTTCAATAAATAATGGTGAAAAAAATATTTTAAAGAATATATAGGCTATGACAGGTAGAACTTATACCAATAAGCAATTGAAGAGGATACTTCAAAATATTTGCGGAATGAAAACTTTCACCAACCCAAACAAGTTACAGACACATAATACCAACAAAGATAAGTAATAAATGTGGATGTTGTTAAACAATAATTATGGACCAGCGTTAAGTTCAAACAATATGGGTAATCAATGATAAGCAATAAATGAGAGAGTTATGAATGTAAGCAATAAATGCATGAGAATGACAATGTTGCTTCCATTAAATATGCAATTAATAATAAATGAGTTAAGAGACAAGAAAATACTCGGAGATTTATAGTGGTTCGGTGCTCTATTCATAAGCCTCTTCCATCCACTTCTTCAAGATAATTTCTTTGAAATTTCACTAGAATCGGAATACGCCAAATACATTAGTTTAACATGATTTTACCCTTTACAAGAGTTTAACATGATTTCACCATTTACAATAGTTTAACAAGATTTGGTTTACAAAGTGTTTAATAAAAAGTGTGAAAAGAATTGCCTCTTAACTTAGGCTTAAACACACAATAAGAACAACACTCTCTCATTTGGATGATTGAGGAAGACGACAATATCAATTTGTTTAGTATAGTGAAATTATCAAATCTGATCATTGAATTTTGCAATGACTCTTTAATTCTCCCCATCTATTTCATTTGTAACTTACAATTCATCGATATTGGGGGTCCTAATTTTTGCAGTGCTTGAAACAATTGGTTATTGTCATTGGCTTCACACCATGCAACAACTGCATTTACCAATCCATTAAGGACATTTATCTTTTCTAGTTCCAAGACAAGATCTTCTATCTGTTTCAAAAGTAGGCAATTAAAACGCTGACAATAATAATCTTTGAAATTTCTAATTATGTCTGCATCACACGACTAGATTTTGGAAGTGCTAGCTGGTGGTAGGAACATAATAGTTGTGTGATGAAGTGGAGGGAAATTCTCCCTTTTGCCATGTGTGGTACAATTATCCATGATAAGCAAAACATTTCTATCCAAACGACTATCAAACCACTTAAGCCATTCCATAAAAAACAAAGTTGACATCCATGCGTTTGAATTTGCTCGATACTTGCAGTTGATATTATCATGGTTAACATTCTTAAAGCATCTTGGATCACAAAATTTACCAATGACTCAAAGTGGAAGTTTACCAGAGCCATTGCCATTGCAACAAGTAACAATTATAATCCTTTCTTTATTTTGCTTTCGCCCCTCCAACTGCTTTGTTGCAAGAGAGTTATCAGTTTGCATTCGATAAAATAAGCTAGTTTCATCCATATTGTAAATGTTTTTCCAAGCCCATTTGTCTAATTCCTTTCTTATTGATGGCAACCTAGCTTCAATTTTCTCCATATCAACTGAACCACTCTCCCCAAAACAACTGAAGGAATGAACCATAACAAGGACATTTCAACATTGACTCTATTGGACGTAGCCTGTTAATTAAGTAAATCAGGATAAATTGCGCGTATTTTTCTTTCTCTTTACTTGTGTGTATTTACTTGTTTTGGTTTCGTATTACTCTAGATTGTTTTAGTTGCTTAAACTTTTCCAACCATCCATTTGAAAATTCAAATGAGGTAGCTTCGGGATAGAGTTGCCTTAAAGATATTTCCCTTCTCTTTTAGCAATTCACCATCCATATTGACATATTCTTGATGGCATACAAACCATTCATACAAGGCAGACTCCATTGCTGGGTACTTACCATCTTTGAATGTTTCAACTGATTATTTAAGTGTCTTGGATATTATTGCTTGTGTGATACCTTAAGACCATGAGTAATTGAGTATCTTCTAACCACTTCACAAGATTTTTTCGCTTTTAGTTGGAGTTTGATTCTTTCATTTTGCACAACTCAATAAGAATATTTTTGGTCGATTGAGTTTGTGTATTAATTTTGGGTGGTATGGTTGATTTGCTAGAGAAAGAAGGAAATGTATCACTTGAATTGGTTAAAGATTTTATTGAAAACTTGATTGAATAACTTGAAACATAACAACCATATTTATCGTAGGCTAATTATAATTCTACTAGGAAAAGTAAATAAAAAATCGTAATACTACTAAAACAATGAATTGAAATCTTAATTAATTATAAAATAAGAAATCAAGTAATATTCTTACATCATGAAAAGTAAATTAGAAATTCTAATACTACTAAAATATGAATTGAAATCCTAATACTATTAAAACATGAATTATAAAATAAGAAATCAAAACAATAATTCTTGTAACTATACATCTACTAAATTATAACATTTTCATAGTAATAAAATTAGTTGATCCCCATATAGAATAATTCTACAGTAATTAGATAAAAAAATAATAAGAAAATGATTAAATTATTTTATTTAAAAATTATAAACGATGAAATACCTTATATAAATTAGACTTTTAGTAATAATAGAGCTTTTAGGAGGCGATTGTCATTTTGAAATTAAATTTTAAGAGTAAATTTTTACAATTTAATAAAGATAAATTATTCAGATATTTTACCTACAACTAAAAATCTAATGAATTTCAAGCAACGAATGCATTAAATATTTTAATTGTGCGTGAAATATCTTAAATTACTGACATTATAATTAAAATAATAAATGTAAAAAAAAAAAAAGTCAACCGTTCAAAAATAAAATAAAATCAAAGTCTTGAAAGAGGTCAAAGTCTAAAGTGAGTAAAATTCCAATTATTAACGCTGACGTGGCAACATCGAACGCTCTCACAGTAAAGTAAATAAAAAGAGTTAATTTAAATGAATTAACTAATTTTTGTTTTTGAAAGAAAAAAAGAAAAATCAAAACAGCTTGAAGTTCAAGTACATATGTTGTCTCTCTTAAATTCTAACGCAACACTCAATCCCCAAACATCTTCGCAACAATGTCTTGGCTTTTCAAGTCTCTCCAATCCGACGCTCCAGATTCGCCACCGCCCCAGCATGAAGGCGACAGCTCCACCAATCGAGACGGCGGCGTAAAAGATGACCTCTCACACATCGGCGAAACAATCGGCCGTCAATTACGTGGAGTCGCAGCTTTTCTGGCGCCACCGCCTTTAACTGCAACCGAACGGCAATCACATCCGCCGCCGCAGTCCTCTGATTCGCCGTTATCGCCGTCCGCGGCTCTGCTTGGGATCCGCAACGATCTTGTGGAAATCGGTGGCAGCTTCAAGAGTGGACTGTCGCTGCTCTCGCGTAACAAAGCGGTTACTGGAATCTCCAAATTCGCCTCCAATTTGTTGCAGTTTCAAAATCAAGATCAATATGATGATGAGTTTGACGGGGTTCCCGGGATCACGGAGGAAATTGTTGAGTTTGTGAAGAAAATTTCCGAGCGAGCAGAATGTTGGACCGAATTTCCAATGTCCTTAGATGATGGTAAGATTTTCAAGCAAAATTTTATAATTACTTAGAATTAATTTTTGTTGGAGTGTTAAAAGTTCGAAATATTATTTGGTGTCTATGCGTATGCTATGATTAAAGCTTAATTTTTAAGTTGGTTTATTTTATGTGTAAAAATTGAAAGAGAATGAGTAATTTTTTTTTGTTTTTTTTTGTTTTTTAGTGTTATTTGAGTACTTTTGTTTTGGTGTTTATTCTATGAATAAAGTTTAATTTTTAGTTACTATGTTCTCTTATATATGTCCGGTTTCTCTTTCTGGTTTCTCCCCAATGTCCTTGATTATTGTTGAACTAGGTTTTCACAAGAAAAATTATTCTTTTTAAATCGCGTTTTTAGAATATATTTTTTGGCACAAATTCTCAAATGTACGAGGGGAGTAAGATCCTTTAGCTATGGATAACTAAAATTGGTGGTGCAAATTATCCAACTTATATTCTTATATTGTGGGATTGAAAGCTTCTGTGGCAGTAAGTCAGTAGGAATGAGATAACCTTCAGAATGTAAGGTTTTTCTGAGCTGAATTACTGGGAAATGGTGTCTACTGTCTACTGCTTGATTCTTGAAGAAGTTGTATCAGAGTAAGAGTGGGGCAGATTTGGAGAATATATACCAATGGTAATGCGAATGCCACTTCTTTTTTTCAAAGTTTTGTTTTGATATTTCTGTTGGGCAAAGGTGCAATTTATCGTGATTGTCCATTACTTACTTAATTGCTGCGGGACAATCAAGACACTATCTCTTTCATCAGTGACTAATTAGAAACTAATTATACTAAGCGCAAAGCTGAAGTGCATTGCAGTTAATCCATAGCTTTGGTGAAGTAGTTATGTATTCCCATGACTTTTTTTAATAGAGTTATTTTATTTTTTTAAGTAAAATTAGGTTTTATTTGATATAGTGGATATTGGAAATAATTTTTAAGAACTTGTGTACTCTTTCTTTGAATCTTCTTCATCTCTTTCAATCACATGGAATGTATGGGTAATAAGACTGCGACAATTGGTTTGAATTTTTGCTTGTCATATTGCAGATTTTGAAATGTCTGATGCTCAGAAAGATCATATTTCCGCTGTTGAACATCTGGTCCCAAGTTTCAGAGATCTTAGAATTCACCTTCACCATTACTTGGGAGACGGTCAATTTTGGATGATCTATTTTATATTGTTGCTTCCAAGAGTTAATGACCATGATTTTGAGCTTCTGTCAACTCCAAAGGCAAGTTTTTTTCTATTCACATGTCATCTCTTTTTTCCTTAAATATCAAAATACACAATTATTTGCACATAACCCCTAGCAACTATCTGTTGTGGGTCCTCTTATGGACCATATCTTGTTATCAAAGATTGAACTTTCCATGTTGGCCTGGAAATGTTCTTGGGGCTTTTCATCTTGGGGACATTCAACTCCAAACCATGCACATTAGACACATGCTTAAATTTTTGTGATTTTTTAATATGTTACTTTTTTCACTTTAATATGTTTCCTATAGGACTCTGATTCTGCATTTGTCAGAAAGGTTTTTGTCCATATGTTTTAGTTATGTTCTTTCTTGTCTGAGTTATTGATTTAAAGGATTATACTATATTGCTGTTACAAGGCCTTCTTTTTTGTTCCAACACGCAATTTTTTGGTTTATGGATAAGAATGTTTTAGTTATCGTAAACGACATTTTAGTTATCAATATATGTAACTAATTTATATACTTTGTCAACTGAAACATTGGCCCGGTAACATTATTGGACCTAATACTGTAGTATGACCTTGATTGAAGTCTTTGGAAACGGTGAGACTTGAGAACGTACCTTTTGTTTATCTATAAGATCAATTACTTGTCTTTTCTAAATTAGGACTAAAACTTCTTCAAATTCTAGGCAATGAAGTCTGATTTTTGAAATCTGTAGAATATTTTTTTCTTATATCCAATGGGTGGTTCTTCTGTAATATGGAATTGATGCCTTCTCTGCACTAATCTAGTTTTGAAATTTTTACAGTTTGGAAATAAAAATTCTGTCTGTGCTGAAATTTCAAATTAAAATTACAATAATAAAAAAATGTCTTCAGTAATAAGTTCTCTTGTGTTGCAGATTATTGAAACAAGAAATATTCTTATGCAGAAGCTACAAGACGATAAGACTGCTCAAGTTGATAACCGTAGCACTAGTGCATCTGCAGAAAAGGAGGTTACTGAGATTTTAAGTGCAACACAAGGTCTAGAAATCAATGTTGAAGAAAATACTGAGCGATGGCTGGATGGTACAGATATCGATAGTGGCATTTCTCTAAATAGCCAACAAAAGATTGAACACGAAGAGGATGTCTCATTCAGTGATTTGGAAGACGATGGCAATGATCTACCTTCTAGACTATCAGCCTCTAGGCCAGGACATGAAGTTAAGGCTATTTCACGAAGTGGATCCAATGATTGGATAAAACTAAATGATAGTTCTGATAATCGGGTTGATCTAGAGAAGGCACGACAGTCTGCTTCTCGGGATAAAGACTCAGAAGGTGAATCAAGCGATTGGCTTGCAGTTGATGAATTTGATTAGAAAGTTGGCAGCTGTTTGATATGCAGCAGATTTATTGTAAAGTTTCAAAGATTATGATCTCTTGGATTGGATCCCCAGTTCTGTATTTATGGGTCTCAACCTTCATCGGAAGTGTTACTGTTTAAAGTAATAATTCAGTCAATGTCACCTTTTACCTTGCTGGGTTATGCTATTACAATTTATTTCTGTATATACTAAAAAAGACATCAGAACTTTTCCAACTTGTATATTCAAATTCTTCATTCTTTCCCGTAATTGCTTGTTTACTCATTGGTAGTTTACTGTATTTATTTGGTCCATACACAGAATAAGATATTATTTTAAAGATGAACATAAAAGCTGTTGGTATTTTGTTTCAGAAAAGTTTCAAAGAATATCTCCATCTATCACATGTAAGTTTTTACTGACATCAAAATTCAAAAGCAGGCATTCAATTTCTACTCTTAAAACATACCATATATTTCAAACTTATTTTAAACAATTAATATCGTCACATTCAACTAATTTGATCAGAAAAATCAGCTGTTTTAGTGAGAAAGACTATAATGGTACTTGATTCTGTATATTGTAGAAGTCAAGGGTCTCAAAAACTGTAAAATTCAACTTTTCGTGCCAGAACCAGCAGATTAGTTTGTTGCTTATATACAAATTGGCCTTTCTTAAAAACTGGGGCTTTGACTATGTAATGTCTATCTCAACCAGGAGTTTTGGAAATCTTTGACTTCTAACGCTACTAATAAAGAGTTGCAGGACACTAGATTCACAGCACTGCCAGTATCATGGCCTCCAACCTCTCCATCCTGTTGGGTGGACGGGATGATAGACAGAAAATACGTTGGGAGGTGGCCTCAAAGCAGGATTTGCATTGAAGCCCCTTGGTACAAACGTTTCAGTGGATCTTGGCTGCATCAGTTTCATAGTAATGTTTATGGAGCAATGATTACCTCGAGGGAATGCTTGAGGGAATGGTTGGGTAAAAGTAGGATAATCAACCCGACTTGGATAGCTTGCAGAAGAACTTTGAAATGCTAAGTTAGGAACTTCTGAGTGGACCAAAGTCGTGGGCTGTGGTACTGATTGTTTGCAAAGCTCAACCCGACTCGGATAGCTTGCAGAGGAACTTTGAAATGCTGAGTTAGGTACTTCTGAGTGGACCAAAGTCGTGGGCTGTGGTACTGATCGTTTGCGAAGCTCTGCATTTGGTGCTACTGATCGTTTGCAAAGCTCCACATTTGGTGGGCACCATTCAGGCATGTCGTCGTCGTCGTCGTCATCATCATTGAAAAGATTCTTTGATGCAGTTGCACTAACTGGTTGCATAATACATCTGCTTTGAGTGTTTTGTTTTTCTCCATTTACAGAAACTTCCTTCAGCAGAGGCATTCTCTGAATGGCATCCAGTGGAAGCCTAGGAAGATTGAAAATTTCCAATCTTGGTTGTTTGAAAGCTGATAGTGACTTTACCATTGACATGGCCGGCTGCAACGACCAATCCATTTTCCTTAATCCTTCAGCTGGAAGTTTCTTCTCAACAGTCACAGAATCCAAAGGTTTGCTCATTGGATGAGATATGCCACATTCAGTTCTAAAGTCAAATTCAGGAAGGTCATCATTGTCAAGAGTACGTATAGGTTGCATTGCGAACTTAGATGAGAGAGACAAAACAGGTTTCTGAAGTTCCAAAACTGGTTCGGGTCTCTCTTCTATGCTTGACTTGTGTTGTATAAGTGGTGTTTCAACTTCAGGCTGTGCCACTGAGCTCTGGAGAGAGGCAGATTCCTTAGAACCTTTGGATTGCAAAAATGATTCAGGATTCAGAACTGAAGGTGTCAGAGACAGATTAGCACTGGCAGAAGAATTATGCAATTCAAGTTCAACTTCACTTGTCTTTTGATGTTTGCCTCCATTTCCACAGTTTCCTGCACTCTCATGAGTGGTGCTCTTAGTTTCTGATGCAACTGGAATGGGATCCTGAGTTGATTGTTTACAACACAAATCTTTTCTTATGGATATTTTCCTAGAAGAGTTTGATGAAGAGTTGAGAAGGTGTCCTGATGAGGAACAAATCTTTCCGTCAGATTTCTTTGCAGCAGAATTAGCAGATGCTATATTTCTTCGCCATACAACACAACCAATCAAAGAGTCTTGGTTGTCTACAACAGCAGCCATGCCCTTGAAGAAACCATGCTTTGCAAGTATTGTGATTATGCTGTCACTATGAGGGTAAACATAAAGATCAATACCTGGTGATAATTTCACGAACCCAACCCTCTTCCCATCTTTGTAGCCTTTTGCAACCTGTAAATCAGGTAGATGAAAAAACATAAATCTAATCTATTTATCCAAAAAACCCAGGATGAACTGTAATTACACACTCTCTTTCATTCTGATCCACTCACCTTTTTCATGCCTACCAGTCCAGATTTTGAAGAGCCTTCTTTCCAGCAAAGTGAGATTACCTGAAGACACATGCATAGAGCCATTAGCATTTTCAGTAGAAACAGATGTGCCCGTAGAAGTTAGCATTAAATTCTCCTTAAGGAATAAATTGTGATAATATTTTAATAAATTTGGAACCAAGTGGAGCTTGAACCTTAATAGGTAGCCTTTGATGTACCTAGTTTATCCAATATTCAGGCAGTTACTTGTCATCCTAAAAGAACAGATAATTATGTTGTGATGACCGATGACGATGGAGTAGAACTATATGTTGCACTAGTTTTCCTAAACATTCATGTATAAAAGGTTAGTCATATCTGGTTGGACAAAAAAGTGAACTTCTACATGTCAATTTGAAAGGAAGAATTTACCAAGATTTTTCAACTAAGTTGCACCATCATTTGTAATTTTCTTATAGCTCACTTAACAAACAGATAAATCAATATATATCCTAGAACTTGATGGACCCGAAATACACAGCTGGTACTCACGCAGGACAAGCAAGGGAAGACAAGGGCAAAAGGGGTAAATCACCAAAGACAGGTGTCCTGTTAGTTAGGATTTGGTGTCAGAATAAAAGAGTAGTGGTACCACAGAAGAGGATGTCATTTTTGTTGTTTCATGAATTGATTGTGGGAGGTACTGGCCCTCGAAGACCAGTGGTGTTTTTGTTTACTGTTTCATTTCAGCAACCTTTGTTTCCTTAACTCTTTACCATTATCAATATAGCATTTTCCATTATTCTGAGTTGTGGTTGGATTTGGTGTTGGAATCTTGATGAATGTGTGCTTGGTTATATTGTATTGTTGCATTTGAGTTGTGTGTGTGCGTTTAAGTTGAGTAGAGATCTGTAAAGGTGCTGGGTTCCATCAAACTGGTATCAGAGCTGACGGTGGTGGGTTATGGTTGGCACTCGAATGGAGAACAGAATCGAAGGTGTAGAGAAAGACTTAACAGTAGTGCAAAGGGATGTAGCCAACGTGAGCGAGACTGTGAAGTCGATGAGAGAAATTCTGGTGGACATGCAAAACTGGATGAGAAGAAAAGATGAAGAAGAGGAAGAACGACGAAGAAGTGCGTCTGTGGAAATCAACCCAGACAGGGGAGGACGTATTGAACAGGAACATGTAGGAGGACAAGGAGGCTACGGGGAGCATCAGGGGGGCCAAGGTTCGAACCAAGGGAAAGAGGGGTGGAACCGCCGTGAGTGGGGTGGCCGGAAACTGGAACTCCCTCTCTTTTCTGGCGAAGACCCATACGGCTAGATCTTTCGGGTGGAGCGTTACTTCGCGATCAACCAGATCCACGAAGAGCATCGGGTCCCGTCGACGGCACTCTGCATGGAAGGGGAAGCTCTCACTGGTACCAGTGGACGGAATCTCGGACGGCGGCGATGACTTGGCCAACCTTCAAGGTAGCGTTGCTGCAACGATTTAGCGGCGCGCAGGAGGTCAGTCCCCTGGAGATGTTGATGTCGTTGCGTCAGGGGGGCACCGTGCTGGACTTTCGTCGGAGATTCGAAGAGGTGGCGGCGCTGACTCACGGCGAGAGAGAGGAGGTCCTGACGGTGGTGTTTCTTAACCAGTTAAAGCTAGAAATTCGGGCTGAGATCAAGCTGCAGCAACCCGATCTACTGACTCGACCCGACTCCCTGACCCAGGCCACTTGGTTGGCCCAACGTGTGGAAGAAAGGAATTGGGCCTTAGAAGAAGCCCAAGCAGGCCTGGCCCGAAATACCAGGTTTAATCAATTCTCTTTTGGGCCCAAACCCAACTCTAATCTACCCAAGCCCAACCCTTATTCACTTAAAACAAACGACAACCCATATCCTAATAAAACAAGTGACAACCCATATTCAATTAAAACAAATGACAAAGCCTCCAGTTCAATTTCAAATTCAAAAAATATTCAACACGTACCCAAAGCTGTCAACCAAACCCACGCCTACTCCCCAACTACAACCCACAACAGAAGATTCCCATCTGAGACTTACGGCAGTTCAGGGTCAACAACTCCAAACCACAGTGGGGCCAACTCATTCCGGCGAGAATTTCCATTCAAAAGGTTGACTAAATTTGAGATACAAAGGAAGAGAGAGAGGGGTCTCTGTTATAGGTGTGATGCAAAATATTCTCCAGGGCACAGATGTGGGGAAAAGCAGTTCCAAGTACTCCTGGTTGATGAAGAAGAAAATAAAGAGGAGGAAACAATTATTGAAGAGGAAATGTTGGAAGAAGAAGTTCCCAAGGAAGCTGAGTTATCAATTAGTTCTGTGATTGGAATTAATGGGCCTAAAACGATGAAGTTGAGTGGAGAAATTAAAGGTAGGGAGGTTATAATTTTAATTGACAGTGGGGCATCGCATAACTTCATAAACAGGGACTTGGTGGAGGAACTTCAGATTCCAGTAACAGCAACAAGAACATTCGGAGTGAGGGTTGGTGATGGCTACAACGTCAGGTGTCAGGGAGAATGTAAAGGGGTGTGTCTGAGTTTGCAGGGTGTTGACATAATACATAATTTTTTTCCATTTGAGATAAGTAGTGCCGATGTCATTTTGGGTATAGCTTGGCTTGAAACGTTGGGAGAAACAACCACAGACTGGAAGAAGTTGGTAATGAAGTTTCACTGTTCAGGCACCACGGTCACACTCAAGGGAGACCCAGCTTTATGCAGAACTATGGTGTCACTTAAGGGGATGCTGAAAACACTACAAACCGAAGGATCAGGATACTACATTGAGTTCGGGCATATGCAGACACAGTTAATACAAGAACCAGGCCATTCGGAGTTGGTTAAGAGTCTATTACAGCAGCATCAAGATTTATTTGAACCCCCACCTGGGCTACCACCGAGTAGGATACATGACCATGCCATCAGACTGACAGAGGGAAGTCAACCACCTAATATCAGACCCTACAGGTATCCCTACTATTTAAAGAATGAGATTGAGAGTATTGTCCGAGACATGTTGGTTTCCGGGATTATCAAACCAAGCAAAAGCCCATTCTCTAGTCCTGTGTTACTGGTGAAGAAAAAAGATGGGGGCTGGCGATTTTGTGTGGATTACCGAGCCTTGAACAAGATTACAGTGCCCGATAAATTTCCAATACCCACGGTTGATGAGTTATTCGACGAGTTGGGAGGAGCTTCGGTGTTTACTAAGTTGGATCTTAAATCGGGTTACCATCAGATTCGGGTCAAAGAAGAAGATACCCACAAGACCGCTTTTCGCACCCATGAGGGCCACTACGAATTTCTGGTAATGCCTTTCGGACTATCTAATGCCCCTTCTACCTTTCAAGCTCTCATGAATGATATTTTTAAGCCGTACCTACGGCGATTCCTCCTGGTTTTCTTCGATGACATCTTGGTTTATAGTCCTAATATCACAGCCCATGAAGGTCACTTGAGTCACACTTTTCAAATCTTAAGGCAGCATCAGTTGGTAGTGAACCAAAAGAAGTGTACATTCGCCCAATCACGGTTGGAATATTTGGGCCACATAATTTCCTTAGAGGGAGTGGCTGTTGACCCGGCGAAAATTGAATGTATTCTGGCATGGCCGACACCTAAAGACATTAAAGCTTTAAGGGGATTTCTCGGATTGACGGGATATTACCGGAAGTTTGTTCAAGGATACGGCACACTAGCAAAACCTCTCACCGCGTTACTTTGCAAAAATTCCTTCAGTTGGACAGAATCCTCACAAACTGCATTCAAAGAATTAAAAAGGGTAATGACTAAGGTACCGGTTCTTGCTATGCCTGATTTTACTAAAACTTTTGTTGTTGAAACAGATGCTTCGGGGTTAGGTTTGGGAGCAGTTCTGATGCAAGACGGGCGACCGCTAGCCTTCATCAGCCAAGGCCTCTCATTAAGGTCTCAAGCCAAGTCCGTCTATGAGCGGGAGCTGATGGCAATTGTTTTCGCAGTCCAGAAGTGGAAACATTATCTTTTGGGTAGGCATTTCATCATCCGAATGGACCAGCGCAGCCTCCGTTACTTAAATGACCAAAGACTACATGGAGAAGAGCAACAGAAGTGGATAATCAAACTGTTGGGACTGGACTATGAGACACAATATAAACCGGGATCGGAGAATAGGGCTGCAGATGCCTTATCCAGACGTCATGATGGGGTGGAATGCAATTCTATCTCTACTTGTTACTTTGGCAGCCGTAACGAGTGGGAAGAAGCTATTCAGCAGGATCCTAAGCTAAAAAAAATCTGCCAAGACCTGATTAAGGATCCCAACAGCCATCCACACTTCCAATTGGTGGGACACCAACTTTTCTATGATGACCGATTAGTGCTACCTCGCACCAGCCCACAAGTTCAACTCCTCCTTCAGGAATTTCACTCGTCTCCCATGGGTGGACATTCGAGAATTTTCAGGACCTACAAACGGTTATCTCAGGTTGTCTATTGGGAAGGTATGAAGAGTGACATCCAAACCTTTGTTCGCAACTGTGCTACATGCCAACAGAATAAGTATGACAACCTTCAACCAGCCGGACTGCTGCAACCATTACAGATACCAACCCAAGTTTGGGAGGATCTTTCTATGGATTTCATCGTCAGCCTACCAAAAACTCAACGGGTCGATACAATACTAGTGGTGGTTGACCGGTTAACCAAGTTCAGTCACTTCATACCCCTCCAACACCCTTATACGGCACTACATGTGGCTGATCTTTTCATCCAGCACATTGTTAAACGGCATGGGTTCCCACGAACGATTGTGTCAGATCGAGATCGACTCTTCATGAGCCTTTTTTGAGGCGAGTTGTTTAAACAATCAGGTACGAAACTACACATGAGCACCACATATCACCCTCAATCGGACGGCCAATCAGAAGTGGTTAACCGTTGTCTTGAGACCTACCTACGTTGCTTTATGGGACAGCAACCAAAACAGTGGCCTAAGTGGCTCAATTGGGCAGAATACTGGTTCAACACAACCTTCAATCGGTCCTCAGGCATGTCTCCCTTTCGAGCCTTATACGGCAGGGACCCCCCAGTCCTTCTTAGATATTCCGAACATGCTTCAGTGGTAGCGGCAGTTGATCAGCAAATGATCCAAAGGAATCACATTTTGGATGAATTAAAGTTCAATTTATCTCAAGCTCAAGGTGCCATGAAGGCCTATGCGGATGGTAAAAGAAGAGACGTTCAATTTCAATCAGGTGACTTAGTTTACTTACGGCTCCAACCTTATCGTCTCAAATCACTGGCTCGAAGACCCAATGAAAAACTCAGTCCCCGATTTTATGGACCCTATGAAGTGATCGAAAAGGTTGGTTCGGTCGCTTACCGTTTACAACTTCCTACTACCGCCCGCATCCACAACGTGTTCCACGTCTCCCAACTAAAAAAGGTGACCTCTCAACCAATCACCTCACTTCAAATTCCTTCCTTTCTTGATGAAGATATGGTACTCCAAGTGGAGCCTGAGCAAGTCTTACGGAAGCAAAGATTGAAAAATGGAGACTATGAGGTCCTAATCAAATGGAAAGGCCTACCAACTTGTGATAATACTTGGGAGTCCTATACAACCATCTGCCACCAATTTCCTTCTTTCCACCTTGAGGACAAGGTGGCACTCCTTGGGGAGGGTAATGATGGACCCGAAATACACAGCTGGTACTCACGCAGGACAAGCAAGGGAAGACAAGGGCAAAAGGGGTAAATCACCAAAGACAGGTGTCCTGTTAGTTAGGATTTGGTGTCAGAATAAAAGAGTAGTGGTACCACAGAGGAGGATATCATTTTTGTTGTTTCATGAATTGAATGTGGGAGGTACTGGCCCTCAAAGACCAGTGGTGTTTTTGTTTACTGTTTCATTTCATCAACCTATTGTTTCCTTAACTCTTTACCATTATCAATATAGCATTTTCCATTATTCTGAGCTGTGGTTGGATTTGG